ATTACTAGCTTCAAAGAGGTAGGAAAGAAAAGTCCTGATGTCCATACTTGCCAGAATCCAGTTTGCTCATAAATATATGCCTGACCTTGCACAGATCTTTTCCTATTAAATTTTCCTAAGGGTTGTTAGTTTTCTGCAAGAAGAGCTTATAGCCCAGCTCCCATTACCCCAAAGGCTATTCTGGATGATCAGTAGGGAGTCTGCATGTGCTCACACACTTGGATCACGTTTTTTCATGAGCAGCACACAGGCTAGAGCTGTAGCCGAGCCTTTGTATCATGCTGTGCTAACATCATTGCCCCTCATACAGGTATGTGGAGTTAGTGAAGACAGACAGCGTCTATGAACCCCATGAAAGCTTCTTCACCTTATTCTCTGATCCACGGAGCACCAGGCTAGCTCGGATCCACCTGCGGGAACAGATTGTGCAAGACCAGGACCTGGAGGCCATCAGGAAGCAGGTGGTACTGCACTGACAGCCTCTAGTTGTCACATCACATAGCAGCACTGACCTATGGGCACCAGCTAAAATCCCAGGCATCCTGAGATTCCCAAGACTCCACCCCTCCCCATCCAAATTCTGTCTTTGGGAGAACCTCCGCATCTCCTTCCTCAGATCCCAAAGCCCTTATCAGGAATGGGATGGGGACACCGGCCAAGTCAGGCGATACCTGGCCTCAGGCTTCTCCCAGCAGGAGGTGGTGCAGGGAACAGGAGGGGCACTCCCATCTGTGAAATCTTTCTAACTGTTTGATTTCCCGTCTTCCAGGATCTTGTTGAGCTCTACCTGACTAACTGTGAGAAGCTAACAGCCAAGAGCCTGCAAACCTTGGTGAGCTTCAGCCACACACTTATCTCCCTTAGCCTCTTTGGCTGCTGTAATATCTTCTACGAGGAGGAGAACCCTGGAGGCTGTGAAGATGACTGTTTGGTGAACCCCACTCGCCAGGTCTTGGTCAAGGACTTTACTTTTGAAGGCTTTAGCCGCTTGCGCTTCCTGAACCTCGGCCGCTTGATCGAGGGGGTAAACGTGGAGACGTTGCTTCGGCCTTTGGCCTCCCTTGCAGCTCTCGATCTCTCTGGGATCCAGCTGAACGACGTGGGATTTCTGACCCAGTGGAAGGACAGCCTGGTTTCCTTAGTGCTTTACAACATGGACCTTTCAGAGGAGCACATCCAAGTGATCGCACAGCTCCGTAAGCTCAGGTCAGCAGACCTCTTCTTCCTTCTTTATCCTTTTCCCACAGATAGGAGCCATGCAGATCTCTTGGGAATGGGTTACCTGCCCAGTGAGAGCCACCCGCAACTGCTTTCAAGTTATAAACTCTCCCATAAACAAGCTCAGTCAATGACTCACCATACAGCTGAAATATCTAAAACCAACCTGAATTTTGCTTGCAAAACAACATCAAGCCCATTCATTTAGCAGAAACTCCCTTAAAAAAAAAAAAAAAGTGATAACAGAATATCTGAGAGATGGGAGAAATGGCTGTGAATGCGTACAAGTACTGGTGTAGTGATAATCACACTGAAATTCAATCCTTGAAATCACCTTTCAATCTTTGAAATCAGTAATGTCCAAGTTTAAGCCTGGCTCTGAGATAAAACTAGGAAAAACTCTTAGCAGCTCCTCAGACTGTCTGCTGTGCTCTCTGTAAGCACACTGTGCATGAATGGAGCAACCAAGAGAAAGAGCAGTCTAAATAAATAGGGCACTCGGGACCTAACAGTGCTGTCAGTGGAATGACTTCCTGAAGCAAAGTTGAGACGATTGCTATTCAAGCTACACGGTGGTTTCAGGAAAGAGATCCAGGACTTTCTGAGGCAAAAGGAGGGGCCTTACTATTCCAGCGAAGGATACTTTCCAGTGGCTTTAATACTGACTTTACTGGCTGCAAACACTAGGGGGTACCACGTTTACACGTGACCTATAAGTCTCGGAGAATCTCCTGGACAGCATTTTTAACTCCTGATGATTTTCAGTGAAACTTGTTCCACAACATGTAGAAGTCACTTGTATAAACACGACATTGGCTCATGTTTTAGGCAGGCAGTTTAGAAAAGCTCTCCCAAGGAGTCTTAGCTACTGTTTGGCAGGTCAGAGCAGGCCCTGTCCTGTAAGGGGTACCACTTGCACATGGTAGTTGGTCAAGCTGTCCCACAACTCCTGTAGCATCAGAGGCCTTCCCAAAGCCATTTATCTTAAAGATAGATGAACTTCATTAGAGAGTAATAGCCTAGGGTGGAAAAAAATACAAGATTGCAGAGCAGACAAAAACTTCTCTAACTTAATTTGTGGGATGAGGCAGCATATGTTTTTGGGGATGCAAAGATCCTCCAGTGCATCTTAATCCCCAGGCAGAAATGCTCAGGTAGATGCTGTGACAGAGCTTGGGAAAGGCAGACCCTGAGCCTAGAGCAATTGCCTTTGTGATGGTGCGGCCAAATGACTCATTGTGCTGCGTTCCGAGTAGGCCTCTACCCGATATCCGTGACTATGGTTAGACACAAGCCAGATCTTGCTGCCACATCCCACAGAACCATATTCCTGTATCTTGGAGAGGAAGAGGGAAGAAGCAAAGAAAAACAAAACCCAAAAACAAAAACAACCCTTGGCTCGTCATCTTTCCCTGGTAGAGTGGGGGAAGTCCCAGCTGATGCTATCCAGGCTCTGAGCTGCTCTCTGTCATTTGCAGGCACTTGGATATCTCCCGAGACCACCTGTCCAGTTATTACAAATTCAAGCTGACCCGGCGGGTTCTAAACCTGTTTGTGGAAAACTTGGTAAACCTCACTTCGCTCGATATCTCAGGGCACACCATGCTGGAGAACTGCACTATCCCAAGCATGGAGGAGAAGATGGGCCAGACAAGGTAAGGGAACAGCAATTACTGATGTCTGCTTGGGTGGAAAGTTTTGCCAAAGCTGAATTAAGGACAGTTCTCTCTTCTGAGCTTTCAAATTCTTTAGGTCTAATTAATACTAAAAAGCAACATACAACTGTTGCTAATTCTCCCTCATGCTAAAGACTAGTACGGGAATCAGTTAGTTGTGACTCCTGTATGTGACAGGGGTAAGAGCTTTAGAAGTAATAAAGAATTCATCCTACCTGTCTTTCATACATACCTGAAGAAGTATTTCAGCCCTTCTTTTCCATACACATCCTTCCAAGGATCTCTAGCAGCAGTTTATACTTCCTCTAAAAGGACTCCGAACCCTTTTACACATTTTCTACACAAAACATTCTTACCCCAACCAAAGTCCAGGTTCTGAGATAGAGCATTTCTGCACTGAGTCAATACATGAATGTTTATAGGAGGACTGTGCGTTCTACGGACTTAGAATCTAAAGGCTGATTTTCAGATTTGACTTTGATGCCAAGCAGCTCAGCCTTTGAAAAATCCCAGTGCACCTCAGTGGGGGCACACTTGGAGGTCTGGTTTTCCAGGTCAAAGAACTCCGCCCTCTTATTCCCTAAGCACTTGTGAACAAAAGCAAAGCAGTGGGACAGTACTGGCTCCTTTCCAAAGCTGGTGAAAAAAAATACTAGCTCCTGGTCAATAAGGAACAGGGCAACAAAACAAGTGTTCTTGCATGAGCACAGAAGCAGACTGGTGTGTCTATCAAATGACATGCAATCAAGTTCCCAACTAGTCTGGGTCAGCGGAATCCGCAGTCCTTTCCTAAGAGCAAGTGTTTGTCCCCGCTAGCAAATTTCCAAGACAAATTCTGTCTGGGAGAGCCGTATTCTGTCTGCCTGAATTCCTACTGCTATTTCAGTTCAACACATTTACTCCTTCAGTCAGGATCACCTGGAACGAAAGGCTAGTGTGACCTTTAGGAGAAGCTGGGGGGCATATAACTGAACGTAGCCATTGTCACTCCAGTTATGGAGCGCTGCAATCAGTGAATGGAGAGCAGGTAGCTGTCCCTGTGGCAGGAGAGAGTTGAAGAAGCAGGGTACCAACATGAGTGATCTCTTCTTTTCTCAGCATTGAACCAGCAAAGAGCAGCATTGCTCCCTTCCGGGGTCTGAAACGACCGCTCCAATTCTTGGGCCTTTTTGAAACATCTCTCTGCCGCCTGACACATATTCCAGCCTACAAGGTAATGAGGCAGCAAGAATATTGGCAGTGGGTACTTGCTGGAAGTTCAAAGAACATGAAGATCACTGGCTGCCAGTAGGGTGGAGTTCTGGGGCTCTGGGATGTGACAACTGAGCTCCGACCTTTCAATAGCCACTTGGTAATGCAGGAAAGCTGCCACAAGGCAAGACCTGCACCCCACAGTTTTAACGAGGGGAAAAAAAATATGTCTCTTAGAGAAGAGCCTGGGAAAAATCACCCTGCCTGAAGCAGCAGGGTGTCTGTGACTACAGAACAAGGATTTAAGACAATGGAAGAGGAGTCCTACTTGTGAATAGCACCTTCCTGCCCTGAAGGGGCCATTTCTTGTCCCTGTGGGCTGAGAAGTGACTCAACCCCTTTGCTCCCATACTGGGCCTAGTCCTACCAGTAGGACAGGAAGAAGTTGCACCCTTTGACCTTCTAGATCTACCCTCAAAGCTCCCTTCTCATGCTGCCTTTCCTCCCTCATCCTTTCTTCCTTGACTCTTTTTTGCTTCCGTGCCAGGTGAGCGGGGACAAGAATGAAGAACAGGTACTGAATGCTATCGAGGCTTACACTGAACACCGACCAGAAATCACTTCGAGGGCCATCAACCTCCTTTTTGACATTGCCCGTATTGAGCGCTGCAGCCAGCTGCTGCGAGCCCTCCAGGTGAGCCCATGTTAGCATTTACCTCCCCCTCACAAGGGAGATTTTTCAGGCCCAGCCTTTTCTCTACCCTGGGACACCATGTCAGGCCACTCAGGAGAAAGTTCTAGTTGTGCAGTGGAACTGGGTACCTTAATTTCATGAGATGCCTTATAACGTATTCCTGTGCAATGCCTGGGCCATGCATTCCTTGCAGGCTTGTAACAGTCTTTGCCCCACACAGCCATAACAGTCACTCCAAGACTCAGCAGCAAGTCAGTGGCACTGAAGCTTCGTGTTGCTTCTCTGCAGCTGGTGATCACAGCCCTCAAGTGCCACAAGGACGACAAAAACATCCAGGTGACAGGCAGTGCGGCGCTGTTTTACCTGACCAACTCTGAGTACCGCATGGAGCAGAGCGTGAAGCTGCGGCACCAGGTCATCCAGGTGGTACTGAATGGCATGGAGTCCTACCAGGAAGTCACAGTAAGAGCAGGCCAGCCTCCTTCAGCTCCTATAGTCCTGCCTTCCCTGTCTTCTGTCTTTAGCCTGATATAGCATGTAGGTCTTCTGAGCCTCCAGGATGTGAGCCAAGGCATGCACTAGAGAAGCTGTTGCCCAGATCTGCTCCTTGCCTTCACTCCATAATGGGGATTACATGCAGGGCACTCCTTCTCCATATGATGTTCTCCAGAACCAGGGGAAGCAAGCGATGATAGCAAGGCTCCTGTTTAGGTGATGGTAGTGGGTCAAAGGGTACGTACAGCCCACAGCATAGACACCAGCACTGATCGTGGTGATAAGGGACAAAGATGTGCATGCGCTGGGGGCACGGAGTCTGCAGAAAGAAACGTTATTCTAGGGCACTGTACTGGAAGCTAGCTGACACTGTCTAGTACAGTGCCACTGGGTTGTGGAGTGGCAATTGCTGCATAGAGAGCTTATAGGTAGCAAAGCGATGAGACTGGGTGATTGTGTGATACTAGAGTAACAGAGAGAGAAGAGGGAGGGTGCAGATAAAGCACAGCGGTAGGTATGAGGGTAACAGAAATTTTAGTGGTAGTAGTTAGGTAAGAAAATGGTTTCACTAACAAGCAGCAAGGGAACATGAGGTGAGGGGATCATGTTTTCTTAGCCTCCCAGCCCAGCGTTTGCTTACTCTGTCCTAGGTACAGCGGAACTGCTGCCTGACACTGTGCAATTTCAGCATCCCTGAGGAGCTGGAGTTCCAGTACCGCCGAGTCAACGAGCTGCTGCTGAACATCCTCAACCAGAGCCGGCAGGACGAGTCTATCCAGCGCATCGCTGTACACCTTTGTAATGCTCTGGTCTGCCAGGTGGACAACGATCATAAAGAAGCTGTGGGCAAGATGGGTTTTGTCATGGTTGGTATGGTCCCAAGACGTCTGCTTATACTTAACCCAGGCAACTAGAATTCCCTTGCAGCAGTCCACCAAGCATGTCCGGCCAGTGATTCAACCTTACAGCATCACAGGAGGGAACTCATGTCCCAACAGTGCTAAGCTCTCCTGGCACCTGTCCCTCCACGTGACATCTCTTACTGGCTTGCCAGCACTGGAAATCACAGTCTCATAGATAGGCTCTGTGTGAGAGCAGGGAAGCAGCATGACCTGATGCCTTCCCTCTTCACTGCACTATATTATTTTTGGAACTGGTATGATCTTTTACCGAGCTCCTTTGGCACCTCCCCTGAGTTTGCACCAGCTTCCCAATTCACGTCCACCCATATCCCACTCCTTTTTAAAGGCCTGCTGAGGCAACTTCTCTTATATAGTTACTACACTGCTAACTTTGTGATACACATTGCAACGGATTTGACCGTAAACTCCAGAGCCTAGGGACTCTGATGTAGTTCAGCTCTGCAAACGCCTGCGACGCTAAACATAACCCAGTCCCATGAATCAGAGAAAGACATACCGATTGGGTTTTCCACAAAGGGTCAAACTTTTAGACTGCATATGCCTGCAATTGGCCGTAGCCAGCCCTGTACTGCCTCAAAGTGTCCGTTTTAGCTCTGTGATTTCTGAACCATTCTCACTCTTCTCCTTCCTCTGCCCACAGACAATGCTAAAGCTGATTCAGAAGAAGCTGGCTGATAAAACGGTGAGTGTTTTCTCCCAAGATGTACACACAGAGTATTTTCTGTTCAGCCTGATGTAGTCATGGTGATCAGTCCAGTGTGCCAGCCCAGCTTTTTTACCAAACACCAGACATCTCAGCTGGTGCTGTAGGGTATCCTCTCCAAAGAGGAGGGGGGAAGGTAGCAGAGAGGCAAAAACAACAACAACAGTAAAAGCACTTGTCAACCAGCTGAAAGCGAATAACAAGGTCTTCTTACCTCTGAAGCGCGCTGGGGTGATGCCAGAGATGAAATACGAGTACTTGGTTTCCACTAGGCTCCCACATGAGCAAAGCTCTGTTTCTGTCTCTATCTCTTTGGCTCCATAGTGTGATCAGGTGATGGAGTTCTCCTGGAGCGCCCTCTGGAACATCACTGATGAGACCCCTGATAACTGTGAGATGTTCCTCAACTACAGTGGCATGAAACTCTTTTTGGAGTGCTTGAAAGTAAGTATTTTTGGTTTCCTCCAGAGGAATACTGACAGTAGTAGTAGAGATGCAGGTGCCTGGGCACGATCCCTGGCTGAGCTGATCCACAATCAGACCTTCATATGTAAAGTAAAAACTTAACTTTTCATAAAGTAAAAACTTGCCATGTTTTGTTATAATGTATGTCTTTTTCACAGCCATCCACCAAGTAGAAGAACACATTCACTTACTCATATGTGTCATGCTCCTCT